AAACTCTGGCAAAGAATTGATGAACACACAGAGAACTTCAACAAAGAGAAAATAAGAGAAAGTATCAAACAGAAGTCACAGAACTGAAGAATATAGTAACTGAACTGAAAAATACACTGGGCAGGTTCACATATATTGGAATATAAGCACATACACAGAGAAATGTAAGTAAAATATATATCATGAGAAGCACAGGCATAATGATTCTCACCCCAAATCTGTTGCATTTCTATACACTAACAATAAACTATCAGAAAGAGAAATTAAGAAAAAAAGCCTATTGACAAGAATAAAATACCTAGGAATAAATTTACCAAGGAGGTGAAAGACCTGTACTCTGAAAACTGTAAGACATTGAAAGAAATTGAAGAAGACACTAATAAATGAAATGATATTCTATGCCCATGAATTAGAAGAATTAATATTGTAAAAATGGCCATAGTACTCAAAGCAATCTATAGGTTCAATGCATTCCCTATCAAAATTCCAGTGGCTTTTTTTCACAGAAATAGAACAAACAATCCCAAAATTTGTATGGAACCACAAAAGATCCTGAATAGCCCAACCAATCAATCTTGAGAAAGAGCAAAGCTGGAGGCATCATGCTGCCTGATTTCAAACTATATTACAAAGCTATAGTAATCAAAACAGTATGGTACTGGCATAAAAACAGCCACATAGATCAATGGATCAAAATAGAAAGCAAGAAATAAATCCAAGCACATATAGTCAATTAATTTATGACAAAGGAGACAAGAATATACAATGGGGAAAGGACTGTCTCTTCAATAAGTGGTTTTGGATAAATTGGACAGCCACATACAAAAGAATGAAACTGGACCACTATCTACACCATACACAAAAATAAATGTGAAATGGATTAAAAATTTGAAGGTAAAACCAGAAGCCAAAATACTCCTAGAGGAAAATGTTGATGGTATGCTTATTGACATTGCTCTGCGCAATGGTTTTTTTGGATCTGACTCCAAAGACAATGACAGTAAAAGCAAAAATAAACAATGAGATTGCATCAAACTAAACAACTGCACAGAGAAGGAAACCATCAACAAATTAAAAGGCAACCCACCGAATGGGAGAAATATTTGCAAATCCTTTATCTAAAATATACAAAGAACTCCTCCAGCTCAACTACAACAATGACAACAACAAAACAATCCAATTTTAAAATGGGCAAAGAATTTGAAGAGACTTTTTTTTCCAAAGAAGTTATATAGACAGCTAACAGGCACAATGGAAAGATGCTCATCAGTCATCATCAGGGAAATGCAAATTAAAGCCTCACATCTGTCAGAATGGCTAAAATCAAAAACACAAGAAACAACAAGTATTGGTGAGGATGAGGAGAAAAAGGAACCCTTGTGTGCTGTTGGTGGGAATGCAAACTGGTGCAGCCGCTGTGGAAAACAGTATAGAGCTTCCTCAAAAAAATTAAAAATAAAACTCCCATATGATCCAGCAAATCCACTTCTGGGTATTTAGCTAAGGAAAATGAAATCACTAATTCAAAAATATATATGCACCACTATATTCATCACAGCATTATTTACAATAGCCAAGATATGGAAGCAAATTAATTGTCCATCGATGGATGAAAAGATAAAGAAGATGTGGTATATATACAATGGAATACTACTCAGTCATAAAAATATAATGAAATCTTGCCATTTGTGACAACATGGGTGGACCATGAGGGTATTATACCAAGTAAAATAAGTCAGACTGAGAAAGGCAATCATATGGTAATATGATTTCACTTATATACGGAATTTCAAAAAACAAAACAAATGAACCAATAAAACAGAACAAAACAAAACTCACAGATACAGAGAATAGATGCTGTCAGAGGGAGTCAGGTACAGGGTGGGTGAAAGGGATCAAGAGGTACATACCTCCAGTTGTAAGATAAATGTCATGAGGATGTCATGTACAGCATGGCGACTCTAGTCAATAATATTGTATTGTATATCTGAGAGTTGCTGAGAGAGGAAATCTTAAAAGTTCACATCACACACACAATTTTTGTAACTTTGTATGGTGACAGATGGTAAGTAGACTTATCGTGGTGGTTATTTCAGTGTATCCAAATAACAAATCAATACGTCGTATACTTGAAACTAATACGATGTTGGATGTCTATACTTCAAGGAAGAAAAACAACAACAACTGAATTTTGAACACTTATGTTAGCTAATGACACAGCAATATTTCAGAACTGTTAGAACTTTAGATTTTATATATTTCTAAAGTTGGTAAAATTAGAGATGCCATGGATATTTAAGCCTGTCCTTTCAAATTATTTCCTAGGCCATCCTCTGTGCTACTATGTAATTTGTAATACATATTTTTACCTAGTTAGTCTTGAAGATTCACCTTTTATTTTGGGTCACAAGTCATTATATGTAATTAAATAGACATAACATATATATTTGTAGATAATACTTTATCCATAATACATAACATATAGAACATAATGCTATATATAATATATAATGTTTATATAACATAATGTTTTGTTATGATATGGAATACAAAATCAAAATGTAGCACATGTTCGCATATATACACTCAAACCAGAGGTATTGGTAAAACTTGATAAAAAATGAGAAAGTGAAAATAAAGTCACCAAAAATTCTTGTAAGACATCTTCTAAACTTTCTTTTAATTATTTTCCTAATAAACTAAATATATAAGGAAACATTTCTAGTATAAATCAAAGTTTCAAACCTATATTAACTTTACTGGTTTTAATTTCTCCAAGTAAAAGTCATGATTGTATGGCTTGACATGGGTTTGTCACAGAAATAGAAACTTGAAATCCAAAAAGTCGTGAATGTAGTTCAGGGCATTTGGTTAGCATGTATGAAGTATCTGTGTTGTCAAATACGGATTAGAAAGTTTTGAAAGAGTTAATATCTCAAGGATGACAAATTCCTCCCGAAGTAGAATTAAATTGCTTTTTATTTTTTTACTTTTTTTATTTTTAAAGATTTTATTTATTTATTTGACAGAGAGAGACACAAGGAGAGAGGGAACACAAGCAGAGGGAGCAGGAGAGGGAGAAGCAGGCTTCCTGCTGAGCAGGGAGCCCGATGCGGGGCTCGATCCCAGGACCCTGGGACCATGACCTGAGCTGAAGGCAGACGCTTAACGACTGAGCCACCCAGGCACCCCTAAATTACTTTTTAAAAATGAGTCAGCAGTTCCTTAATTCCCTATCTCGTTATTTTGATTAATAAAAAAGAACAGCATAAAATAGAGTGAGAAATGCATACACAAAATTACCAGATCGTTTAGAAGAGATTAGGTGGGCATTCTGTCAGTGTAATCTGATCGAGGCCATGGAGAGTTTTTCTACAAATGCACAAATATGCATATATTTATAAGCTATGTTCTTACACAAGCTTACATTCATACTCATAAATGATTTAAATTATTTTCACTGAGAAATGTGCCTTAAAGACCTATATGGCTTGAATATGGACTATTTGTAACATCTCATCAAAGTATACATTTGTGTTTAAAACAATCTACTACTTAAAATGAGTAATTTACGTACCCATGATTTAGATTCATGAATTCATGTATCTATGCATTCAATCATAGGAGTGCTTGATAATGAAACTGCATTTAAAAAAATTCAGCAAGGTTCAATGCTTAAATGCATTGGTGGATATTTGCCACGTACTTAGATTTTCAAAGGGACTAATGATTATTTTAAATACATACACATGTGGGATCTTGCCAAATTACACATAAACAAGGTAACAGACTGAATCTTAGAAATAACCTACCTACGAAGGGCGCCTAGGTAGGGCGCAGTCAGTTGAGCATCTGACTCTTGGTTTCCACTCAGGTCATGATCTCGGTCTTTACCGGCTCAGGGTCATGAGATGGAATCCTGGGTCAGGCCCTTTGCTTAGCTGGGAGTCGGCTTGAAGATTCTCCCCCTCTGCTCCTCCCCTCATTTGCCTGTGTGCACTCTCTCTCTCTCAAATAAATAAATAAATCTTTCTAAAAAAATGAAGAATATCCTATCTACGAAAACAAGTAACTTGAATCTTACTACATAATTATTCTCTCTATTGCCTTTCTTAGAGTACAAAACTAACAGCAAATTTTATTTCTCTGTGAGGGACACTCTACTTTGTCCTGACTAGAAATGGATCAACAGAGCAAGTCATTTCTCCTTTCTACTTAATCCTGCCCCAATCATTTCTGAGGAAGAATACCTTTTCCTTCAAAATACATTTGTAATGAAAGAATGCATTATTTTAGAAGGGATGAGCATATGAAAAGGTAATTTGACTAGTTTTTGAATGAAAATGAGATCAGTGCTAGCTATCAGGGAAAACCATGTCTCTGTTTCTACTAACCTTTTAATGTAAACTGTTTACTTATGGCAAACTTAGAAAACAGCACTGAAATTCTATGCAGTGAATTAGACTTGACCAATTTTTCTTCTGAGTGATGTTTCCTCTTGGAGAGGGCAAGTCAGCCGGAGTAATTCTGGTGAAAAGCAGCCTGAATGACACATGGTAACTAGACTAACATTTGTGCTTGGTTTCTACAGACAGGTGAGAAAATGAAAGCAAATTTAAAATTAATGCAATTTTATATAAAAACTGAAATTATGTAATCTCTCTTTAGGGATTGTTATAGGCATTAAAATATACTCACCTTTCACCCAGAAAAAAAAATGGGGATTTTTAAAAATGTCTTTGAATCAACCTATTAAAAGTAAATTAAAAGAATTTAAAAAATGCTCATAAATGTCATGGCTTATTTTAATGATAATCTTTCACCTATAATATGTGAGGATAACAAGTTTGTATTCATACAAAGGTGTTAATTAATGAATGGCAAACCTTTGCCAATTATTGACACATTCTTCTCTAATCCTGTTATGTGAAAGATTCTAATGAAGTCATAGTTTATTACTAATGATACACTTTGGATTTTTTTTAACTGTGAGATAGGGATTAAAATAATTTATTTGGTTTCAGCTCCTTTTTAAATCACAGCAAGTAAGAAAGCTGCATATTGTCTGCCACACTGTAGGCTCCAGGGCAGGTCATAACCTCTGCAGGCAAATTCAGGACCTGGCCCTTCACACCTGGGTGACTTCAGCTTTGAACCTGCACATCAGTCCATTCCTCCCCTGGCAACAAAGCTGTTGGCCAATTATCTCTGAATAAGAATTGTATCGGATCTTAATTTTTAGTAACAAATTCTGATAGTTTGTGAAAAAACAAACCAAAACCAAAAAAAAAAAAAAAACCCAAAAAACAAAAAACACAAAAAACCCCCACAAACGAAAATGAAAGAACAATCCTTCTGTCTTTCTCAGACTGTTTCTTTCTAGAGCCAAGGGATGACATAACCCATTCAACACGTACAATGAATGGAAACATTAACACATTATTTATGTTCTCAGCCTCTGTGATGGTATCTCCTTCATCAAGAGGACTCACTCAACTGAGATTGGACACTGTCTTCCAGCCCCTGGCTCCACAAATCCAGGAAGGAAAAATTTTCACAAAACTCTGAGAATATCTGTAAGTTGTCAGTTCTATCATAACTAGAATCAATCCTCTTTTTAGAAAGTAGGTTTATAATTGCAGTTCTGGAAAACATAATACATGTATCTCCTTTCAAATAAAATCATAGACTTCTCGAGAGGTCAGGATGAATACAGCTCTGATGTATTCTTTGGGGACAGCGTGTTCATGTTTCCTAAGATTTGAGCATTGTCTTGAGCAGTTTTCAGAATAGAGCCACTTAAAGACCAACAAAACCCATCATAGACTTAGTTATTGTTCACCTGGTTTCCCAGTCTGGGGGGGTGCTGGCTTGAAGTTTGTAGATAATTGTTCTGTAAGTCGACTCTGTGACAAGTTTGAGAAAGGAGAACATTGCTAATGCTTGTGTCTGCGTACTAAGTAATTTGAGTTCCCACGCAGGCGAAAGCCTTTTTCTGTCAATATTTGGAAGTCTCGCTTCTCCTGATCTCCTTTCCTGTGGTGCCCTTCTCCTCACAGTCTGTCCTACAACACAGTGACATTCTGCCAGCCCTTTTATTTCTGCACCATTCCAGAAGCTCTCTAGAAAGGTGCAGGAATGATTGGCAAAGATGCTGACACTCTCCCGTCCCTACCCTCTTCCTTACTCCTTGTTTTTATGCCCACTTGGGGGAAAAGCCATAGGTGTAAGAGATCCAGGTCCAGAGGATAAGCTGGAGGCTGGATGCAGCAGCTGTACCTCGCTATTGCCTCGAGTAAGCTTGCCACCAAAAGTGAGCATCACGACGGAGGCTGGGGCACATCTAGAAATGAAAGCTGTGCCTTAAGGAGCCCTCAGTGAAGAGGAACTGTCACTGGTTTTTCTGACAGAGGCTCTGTTCTGTGGCAAAAGGACACCTGCTCTGAGTCATACTATTGCAGAGGTTGCCAGGGGAGGAGGGAGCTGCTCTCTTGCTCCTGGCTGGCGGCATATGTTCCCTATGTCCCAGACACGGGCATGACCAAAATAGACAGAGGGATGGCAAGGAGAAGCCCGCTCACTCCCCTGTCACGTCCATCCAGACTGTTCGTCTATCATTTCGACCCGGAAGCACATTCGCATGATCCCACACCCAGGTTGTATCCCTGGCTTTGAGGGTGACCTACACCCACAGCTCAGTGTCCAGCCCATTGCCTGGTGCACGGGACCAGCCACACTTTGTCCAGCTGGCTGCCGGCACAGGACTGTCTCTCATTGCCACTTACTAGTAGGCCCAGCAGCCGAGCCCCACGGTGTTGCCTGTTGAACCAACGAGAAAACAGCTTTGGTAGCTTGCCAGAGGCCGGGCAGATGGCAGAAGCCAAATGGAGAAGGGAAGCCAGGTCTATGAGACACTGCTCTAATCCTGGGCACCACCGCTCCCAGTAAATACATGTTGCCTGGAAGAATTCTTACACTTAAACTTGAACTTCATCATTTAGTAAGTGGTGCCACACATCGTTTCTCAAACGGCCCTCCAAACCCCCTTTGAAGTAAATATGAACTTTGCTTCATTGTAGAGTTGGTAAGACTAAGACTGGTAGATGTGGCTTGTCGTGCTGGAGCCCCAGTGAAACAGGGGGCCGCTTCTGATGAAAGTTGAGTCTTCATCACTCAGAAATGCCTCTGCTGTAGCTCTCCGTGTCCTTGTCCCGACCACCCAGGCCCCCAAAATGCTGATCCTTTGCTCTTCCCAGAGGGTGGAGTCGGAGGAAGGCATTTTCAGTGCCTTTTATGGTGCGGCTGGGCAATTTATACAGCCGATGCCTTTGGTTCCAGAAAGGTGCATCATTCATTCACCCATCAGGAAATATTCATGAACCCCAAGCTACATGCCAGACACTGCACCAGACAGTGGCCTGCGACGCAGGGGAAACCAGTAAGCCCATAAGAGAATCCATCGCCTATCCCCTTTTCTCAAAATGGAATAGTAAACTAAGTCTTTCTAAAGGCTTACTTTCCACTTTTACGACACATTGCCAAGCAAATCTTTCAGGCTCTATCCCGTCTGGGCTCCACCTCCTTTACCTCCTCACCCGTGTGGAATACCTCCGACCCTGAAGATCTGGGCAGCTGGGTGGAGGTGACCTCAACCAAGGGCGGGGATATGATGGTCTGCAGGAGCGACCGTGGAGCTCCGCGCTCTGAGCTGGATCTGCTACTTGGAGACCCAGCATGCTGGGCATGTTCTCGGGGATGTTTTCTGAGCTATGACACAAGAGTGTCCCGAAAGAGTTTATTTAAAGGTGACACGAGATAATCCTTCGAAAAGATTTAGCACAGAGTTAGGCACCAGGGAGCACCTAGGAAATGCTAGCATTGCTCTTTCCCGTGGTTTCAAGGTAAAATGCAGTAATGCATGTAAATAAAAAAATCAATACAATATTAGTGGCATTATCAAACTGTAGACCCAATAAACCACTAAGATACGAGAATGTTAAAATTTCTGAAAAAAATGTCAGGATCTAATAATCAAAATTCTTGTAGCACTCGCTTTGTTAAAAATTGAATACCTGTTGTAGTTTCACAAAACGGGGTGACTATGTTTCAAGGATGCTTTTTTGCATGCTGCTGCTGTCTTATTTACTTAAGGAGAGATTAAGTAAGTGTTAAGGTGGACCAACAAGAAGCTCTATTATTTTTGTAATACTCATTTTTAAAACCTCATGTAGGTTCTTTGCTCTGGGACCAAAGCAAAAAAGGTCTGCTATTCTAGAAACCTAAAAATGGTACATCACCGTAAAAGAGAACAGTTGCTTCTTTCAGAATTACACCACTAGATGACAAGTAGAAAAAGCACTATATATGTATATATTTTTATAATTTCTTGATGCCTGAATGAGTTCTTGGCATGACAGTAGCATCTGATCATTTAATATGTAATTTAAAGGTTTCCATCATTTTCTTTTCTCAATGACCTCTTTACTTTGAAAAATGTGAACACAATCTGATCTGAAGAAGACACTTTAACATACAAGTTAACCTGCTTTCCCATTTCACTCAGAGGATGTTGTGGGATTCTGGTGACGAGGCTAGGAAACAAGAGATGGGTCCTGTGTTCTGCAGACTGAAGCCTATGAGCAGACAGGTGAGCACTCCCTCCATCGTGCTTATTTCTGTCATGCTGTTTTGGGACACACATTTGGAGTTTTTTTTCTAAGTGGGTGCATATTTTTATGCATATCTCATCAGTGGGATTTCACAAGTTGAAAGAAAATATTAAAAACATTTTAAAAAAGAAATCCCATGGCAGTGGAGACATCATATTTTGAATATTCTTTGCATCTAATCCAAAAATATATCTTTCTTGGGATGCTCTCTGTTTGCTGAAGTCAGGGGTATTTTGGGGAGATGAAAGAAGAAAACCTAATTGAAACACCACCTTACAATATCGTAGTGAACGGCAAGAAAAAGAACAATTCTCTAATAAGTTTTTAGAGATATTTGGTAATCACAAAATAATAAAATTGTGTCCATTTTGATTTTTGAAATCAGTTTTTGTTTTCTAGATCTTTTCTACAGAATATAATTCATTGGTAAAATAAGACCTTCAGTACTTTTTAGAAAAATTATTTCAATAGCAAGTTTGTTTGACTTTTTTGTTTGTTGATATCTTAAGTTGACTCTGACTCAAGGAACTAATTAATTTGATGTCTCAGAAACACGACCGTGGATTATTAGCTAGATATTTAAACAAGTGTTTTAATTGTTCTCATCGTTTTGTTCTTATGCTTTGCCTCAAACTGATCATAGTATGCAATTGTTTTAAAGAAAAAAAAATTTTTAAATGCAATGCTGGAGATTAAATCTCATCCTTCATTTATAGATTTCTGGAATAGAGTTTACTGTTAGAAACCAATTGTGTTAGTTTATAGAAGTTTTCTCTTCATTATTTCATTCCTTGGTTAAGCTTTAACTTTTAATATTTAATCATTTAAAATGTAACTCTTAAGTGACAACTGATGAAAATATTTTAACACTGTGTATCAATTTCTGAATTCCTCCAGCAGATAGCAACGACTAGCTTACACTGAAGATTTCTCTCTACCTCTAAGAGAATGTATGTTCAGTCGCCGCACCATGTGAAATACTACAATTGGAACCTATTCTACATTCAAATAAATAAATTATTAATACTCTCTGCTGCTGTTAAACAAGCATCACATTTGCGGCGTTGAAATTCTGATTTGTCAAGTATTGGGGGATGTAACTATATTAAACAATGTGTCTATGCGAGGGGGAAAATATTCTTTAGTTGGGGGATCTTAATCAGTTTCACGCTGAGCAAAAGAAAATTGTAAACTATGCATTAAAAGAAGATTTACTGAAAGTTATTTTTGCTAGATCCACTGCATTCTAATTCACGGCTACCCTTTTGCTTTCAATGATAATATACGTAATCTTCCAGCCACATTCATGAGCAAAGTTTGATGTGGATTTACACTTGTGGAGCTACATTACAATGGGTAGATTTAAGGTATTATAAAATGAGTTTTTGGATTTGTTACAGAGGTATGGAGCCCCTCAGATACAGGCAGATAGGTTTTTCAACATATGGCAACCACCTTATTATAAAACAAAACAGTGTTAAATCAAAGTACCTGATTACGATTCGCGAGAGCCATGCAGCTCCGATAGCCAGGCTTATATTTAATACCTCAGAAACAATATCATTTATTTTTCTGTCTTCTCTTATCCCTAAGTTATTGGGTTTGTAGGCTTTGAAACCTTAAGCAAAAGGATAAAATACAAATTATAGAAAACATTGGAGTATGGAGAAATCAAATTACATTTTCCACAATCCTGAAAAAGATGGTTCACATTCCTCTTGTGCAGTCTGGGCGAATCCCCATTACCAGAGAGCTTTCGAGGGGATAATTAGTAGTCTTTGGGGTACATGGAGAGCATTCATATTGCGCTAGGAATAGTCAACTGCACTAAAGGGTTAATTTCTGGATTTGAAACAATAATTATCCAAGTTAAAAAAAATTATTGTGAGGATTCAAATAATCAAAAAAAATTATCAGGCATTATTTACAAGCAATGTGTATCAGGAGAGGTCTAGAGAGGGTATAATTTATTTCAGAATAGTAGATGGGTTCTCCCTGTTTTCAGTTCTCTCTTTAACTTGCAAATTCACTATGAAATTGTGGAGTTTGGGAAGTTGTTCAGGATCTGAACATAAAGAAAAATATAATCACCATCAACAGTAGAAAGCAAATTCCTTTGCAACATCCGTTTCTAATAAGTAAGACCTTGGGGAAACTGCAGGGAATGACAAAAACCTGGTAGTGGGTAGATACATTCAGTTGAGTGTAATAACTAGTTAATTTATAACCAATCAGAGTTAAAGTTCCATGGGCTTGTCTTGGGCTCTCTTATTAACAAGGCTTTAATTCCAGTACTGACAGACAAAAGCTTCGGACCCTAATGAACTGTCTGCTCCGTGCAGAAAGCTGGTGGTAATGTAGAATGTTAGTTACAATAATGATAATCTTTAGTATTTTTAGCTTGTCAGAACTTGCACAGCTAACAACAACCAGTCTTTTACTAAAACTCTACCTCATCAAACTAACTTAATTAGCAATTCAACTCCTTATTTTTGTTTTGGATTCCCCTCTGGCTACTAATTAAAGCTTAATCGAAACCGCTGAACTGAGGTTGTAAAGAATTCATTAATATTAAAATTAGCCCCAACAATTTTTTGGGGGCTGGTGCAATTTGTATTTGTTACTGTCAGGGGTTTGAAACTCAGTTGAATTGTTAAAAAAGCCATACCAGAAATTCTCAGTCTGCCATGCATATGAGCTGAGCACATACGACGAATGCCAATAGTTCTACAAACAGATCATTTCTGACCATACAAACTCAGTCGACTTGGGCCATTTAAAAATATATTTAGCCAAAATATAACTTAGGATATTTTTTCTGAGGTCATTCACATGGCTTTATCCTCCTAAGTGGTTTCATATTTTGGATAAAAGAAAGGAGAAAGGGCTCTGGAAAAAATTTCAAGGATTGATTTTTATGTATTATCTTGACAAGATTAATATGTTTGAAAAACGAACAGATTTAGCTCTTCACTTTGATTTTTTCCACTTTTTGTAACATCAAAGATTACTCAAACAGCGGTACTGGTCATTCTGAAAAGTAAAATCAAATGAGCACCAAACCCAACTGCTACATATAGGACACTTAAAAAAAAAACCAAAAAACTGAAATCTGATCTTTTATCAAGAATGTTTGAAAAGGAAATGTAATACATTTTTTTCTCTAATAAAATGATTATGTCGGTGTATGCGTTCAGTTCTTTTTCATATTTCTTTTGATGGTTTAAGTAGTTAGGTGTTTTTTTTTTTTTTTAGCTCACATTAAAAAAGTCACTTATTCAATATTTGGATATTTGTAAATATTCTCAGTTTCAGTGAAACTACATTTTGTTTTCCAATTTGTGACATGTAAATGCAAATTGGAAGTGCTTCTCTTCTTGGTGAACAGGAAATGATTTTCATAAATCAAATCCTCTTTTCATTTTAATTTTTGATATTTTAATAATTTTGTGAAAAACATGTATATTTATTTTACCCTTTAGGAAAATTCCAAGTGTGTAGGAAACAAACCTGTTGGCAGTAAAATATACAGCAACTAATATTATTTAGCATATCTTATTAAACCTGAACGTTAAAATACCTTTCTAAAATGCAAAACTTTTTCAAAATATACATGAAAATTATACTTACATCTAGGTTTCATTTAGATAACATTTGTGACAAAATAATCATGCGCACATTTAAAAATAAATATATGTCCATTTTAAGCCCCCTGGATTAAATCAACAGTGGCATACAAGGCACACAATTTTAAATCTCGGTGACAATTTCCATGAAGTTATTCAAATACATTTTGACTTCTGACAAGAGGATGTAATTTATAAAACAGAACGTGCCTATCGGTGGAAACTAAATTAGCATAATGAGGATACTTTCATTTCTGCAAGCGCAGTTTTTGACATCCCAGTGTGGAGCTCTTAGAAGAAACCGGTAAAGGGGTCAATATGCATAAGTAGAAAATTATGAAAAAAAAAAAAACTTGGAAACTTTATCTGATTCGAGTAAACACAAAAATATTTTCAAAAAAAATCATGCTTCCTCATACTGATAAAAAAATATTTCTTAAATGCAGAAAAGTCGAATACAGCCTTCAGCTGCTGTCATCCCTGTAAAGTAAGGGAGGTGTTTTGAGGTTATCATTGCATGACAAGAAACATTGTTTGACAATAATGTTATGCGATTTTTTTATCAGTGTTTCGAGTTAATTTCCTATTATGTTTCATATAAATACACTGCAAGCATAAGTATAACCTTTTAAAAATTGTTTTCCAAATTTCTGTTTAGAGTGGAATGAGGGGGATTGTTAGCTGAGTGATTTGGGTAATTGGAGAAACATACAGCAAATCGTTAAGAGAAAATGGATGCTTTTTTACTTTCAGCAATATCAAACTGGATAAACCAGCAGCAATGCTACTTAAGCCATTAGGTTCAAACCTGACTTGAGGAAGAATGAAAGAAGCCACAAGTTCTCTGTATAGTATTTGAAAAAAAAGATGGAGCAGTTAAGCAAGTAAAATCAGCAACTGTATTTGTAGCTTAAGTTACAAATATCATTTGCTTCAAACTTGGAACACAAGAAAATAATGATATTTTCCCAAACACATCTCTAAAATATTACTGATATTTTTTGGATGCATGTGAGTTTGTCGTCCTTAGGTAAGCTATGAAATCACTGACATCTATATAGTCATACGAATGCTTTCATCATTTTATATCGAACCAGATTGGCAAATGCTACTTCGCAACGCAAATAGCTACAAAGGGAAACTTCCTGAAATTTTCTCCTAAAAGGATACAGAGGAATGTGTATTTACCCAAGGAATTAATGTATTATATTTCAGAAATACGGTGATGTCACTTTGTCAGGAATGGGATAATTAAATATGAACGTGGTATAAAAATGACATGATTCCAAAGTAGAATATTGGCAATGGCTAAGAGATTATGCTATTTTAACTTTATTGTTTTAACTAGACTTTTATCTATAGCTTTTTTAGTGAGTCAACATTCCTTTTATTTATTTTTGATCTTAAGTGAAAGCGAGGGCATTCCTCCTGCACAATTAAGCACATCATTATTAGAATTATACAAAACCTGTATGTTACACTTGGATCCCAAGTTAATATTTCAATTTTTTCCACTATATCATCCTTGTTTGTCAGTACTTGATACTTTTTTAAATATATAGGTTGGAACCACTATTACATTTTCAATATTACAAAGATACAGTATATAAATATATCATTTTTGTTTTAAATGTAGCATTGATCTTAACTAGCATTGAGTCTTGTTACAGTGTTTTAGGATACCATAGAATAATAATCAGCAAAGGAAGCTATACCTAGCATTGATATAAAGATTCATTTTCTTCTCTTCTGTTATTCCTCCTTTTACTATATATGCTTAATCCAAAAAGTGGTATTATTCCTCAAATATTAGTAACAAAAGAAAGAGATGCCATAATTAATTTATATAGATATGTGGTACAAATACCACTTAATATTTATTTCTATAAATGGAATTGATGGTAAAGGGAATTCTGTCATTGTGAAAAATCAAATTCTATGAAATTAATAAAATGCTATATGTAAAATAATGACTTTTCATAAGTAATATATAAAACGGTTTTCTGAACACTTCACCGTGATTTTGCAGTAAAGTAATACCCCGAGAAGAAAAACTTGGTTTGTGTATATCAAGTACCACTGTCCTTTTTGTATCCTATTTTTCCTATGTGAGGACAGACGGGAAGAATGGGGGGGGGGGGGTGGAGAATAGGCTGGGGTGGGGTAAGGGAGGACAGAAGGACATCTGGGAGACACAAAGGACTTGAACTGGCCTCAGGGTCTGCCATCAAATGCTGCATGGTGACTCAGCACTTACCACTTGAATGAGTTCACTGGAGCTTATCTTTACTGTTGTCCCCTGGGTCAGACCTGTGATGTGACTACTTTACAAGACATTTTTTAGAAAGACTCCTTTCACTATGTCCTACCAATTACAGTGTTGGAAAGTTAGCAACAGAAGGCATTATGGAAGGGGGAGAGTGGAATGATGGTTGCCAAAGCCTCAGGGAGGGAGAGTAGGGAGTTAGGGCTTAATGGGTAGAGTTTCAATTTTGCAAAATGAAAAGAATTCTGGAGATGGATGGTAGCGATGGCTGTCCAGCCATGTGAATGGGCTTAATGTCCCTGAGCTGCGCACTTCAAAATGGTTAAGACAATCAATTTTATGTTCCGTAGATTTTGCCACCATTAAAAAATAAATATAACAAGAAGAGAGCTTTATTGGAAAGCGATGTAACTTACATATTGTGAGCAGGAAATGAATGAGCAATAAAATTTCCAACAGCTGCAGCCGGAGGAGGATCCTCTGTGTGTGTTTTAGGAACAGGATCGGGGTCTCTGCCCTGGGAGATCAGGACCTGGA